ATCTGCTTCTGAGCTTCACATTAATCCTTAACTTGCTTCCCGTGCATGGGCTGGACTTGGAGCCTCGTCAGTCCCCCTGGGCCCCCCGGAGCGTCCCGGACAGGGCCGCCGCCCGCCGGCTCCCGGGGCGCTCGCAGAGGCCGTTGGCCGAGAGCCTAGGGCACCCCGGGCGAGGCACCCGCGGAGCGGCCCGCAGCGGGCCGGGACAGACCTGCATGTTTCTTTTTAACTGCATGAATAATTTAAAACTTTCACTATGGATATAATATGTTGTATTTTGCTGTGTGGGAAAAATAGAAAGTACATATTAAATCCAATTCATATGAAATCTATAATAATATATAAAATATGTATATAATATTTATATCACGGCCATGATCATCATACTTTTATCCACATTTCCTTGTAGTTTTATGCAGATGTCCTTGTTATTTCCTGTGTTTTATTTTAAAATACACCCATCCCCATTGCTTGGGCCCAAAAATCCAATGGCTGCTATGTCATTTCAAATTTCGTGTCTCTGTGCTCAGCCTGGGAGATTCAGACATCTGGGGGCTGGCGCGCCTCGGTGCCCACGGCCTCTCCGTGTCTAGGTCGTCTTCCATGGTGTCCTGCATGGTGACATCCGCATTTTCATGTTGAATCCCAGCTCTCACGTTTTCTGAGGGGAGGAGCCACGTGAAATCTGGGTCACCTTTCATCATCTGATCCTGGAGGTCAAAGACATTGCTTACGAAATGCTCTATGGTTTGGGATCGTCCAAAGGGCCACTGCAGGTGGCGGGCTGAGCAGGAGGAGCCTGCCTCTGGATGGAGGGGCGGCAAGGTCACATTGCATGAGGGCTGTGTGGGATGAGAGATCCAGAAAAGCCCAGTCCTCTCCATCTGCGCCTGGGAGGCAATAGCTCCTATCTGTTCCTCAAGCAAATGCTTGCGTTTTTTCTTCCAAACCTCAAGTCTCATCCACCTGCGACAGCAGCTCACCACCCCAGATCTCACTGTCTGCAGCAGACCTCGGGTACATTCTGTGCTCTGTATGTATAGTTTCCTGAGTACCATTTCTCTCATCTGAGGGAGATCAAGGGACACTGTCTGCTCCCACACGGCCAGTGTACAGTGAAGAGGAACAGCTGTCCACTCATCTGTTCAAGGAGAGCAAAACGAGGTGCAGCCATGGTCACTGGGCCCTGGAAATCCTGACGCTCACCAGTCTGCAGGCTGGCAACAATCCCTTGTGGCTCTGGGCCTGCCCTCTTTGCCTACTAAATTCTGCTTTATTGTCTTTAACATGTGGCCCATGTCTGTCCCTGAGAACTTTGTTCAGTCCACGTGGGACAGAAATTTTCTGCCTGTAGCAATTCCGGGGTACAGAGGCCTCTCGGATTTTCACATTCTCCGTGGTTTTCATGTCAAGCCGACACAACTCCTTTAAAGCATGGGTGAGTCTCTCACCAACTTAGAATCAACCTGTGGAACAAAGGCCTCTCCCTTTGAACCTCCTCCAGCCCCTCCTGCCCCTCAATTTTCTCAACGTTAAGTTTCCAGAAGGAAGGTCTACCCTTGCTGCACCCTATCTCACCCCTCCTTCCTTGGGAAACCCTTCACAGCATGCACTCGGCACCATGTCTCAACCACAAGTACCCCCGCCAGCTACCAAGCCCCCTCTGTGGTTCTGCCTGGCCCATATCAAGACAATTCTCTTCTCCCCCTTTGCTCCTTCTCTGCCTGTAACTCTGTTTTCTGGTCACCCACCCACCGTCGGGTTTTCCTCTGCTCTCGGTTCTCACGTCGCCTCCTCCAGGAAGCCTTCCCGACTCCGAGACTGAGGTTACTGCCTGCTCAGAGCTTCCACGCTCTTGTTTTGTCCTCAGTTTGGCCACCCAATTGCAAGTCCTGGGGGCCGCTGCTGGGGAAATCTGGGGCAGCGCCCCTTGTGGTTAAGAGTGATCCTCTGGCATGGCGGAGCAGGTTGGGGTGACATGCTGCTGGTGGTAATGAGCTGTGTGTCCTTGGGGAAGCTAACGTGCCTCTCAGTACCTCAGCTTCCTCATCTGTCACAAAGAACTAAGAGCAGCATCTAGGCCAGTGATGGTGACCCTTTTGGAGCATTCAGTGATAACAAACAGCTCTCTGTGGCATGCGTGCCATAGGTTCGCCACCACCGGTCTAGGTCATGGATCATCACAGAGACGAAAAGGTTTATCTCAGGGTGCAGTCCTGCAGATCAGCTGGCACCAACAGCCTCTCTGCTCTGGGGCTGGGCAGCCATTGTCCCTGTCCTTTACGCAGGCTGTGCACCTGCCAGCCGCAGCAGAGGGCAGGACTGCTGCTTGCTGCCGGAGCGGCCCTGGATTTGAGCCTGCATTCTTTTGCTGCAGGGGACATGGGTCAGGCAAGGCCTCCAAACTGGGGAGATTAGGGGGCTCAGTCTGGAACCCAGAAATTAGCCACTGTGTCTGGTTGGGGGTGCTGGAGCAGAACCGGGGATCACACCAGTAGGTGGCACTCAGCTGCAGAAGTGGGGGATTGTCGCATCAGGGAGGTGGTCTTTGAAGGGCAAGGGCCTTCAACAGCTTCCTGTGCCTTCACGCCCATGTCTGGTTTCCTCACTTTCACTTAGAGGAAGAACGGGGAAGTGAGGCGAGGCTGGCTCAGAGCGAAGTCCCCAGCAGATGCTGAAGAGCTCGGGTCCCAGCCGGAAAGGAAGGGGAAGTCAGATGCGAAGGTAGGAGATGAGAGTTTATTTAGGAAGTTGCAAATGGGAGGAGCAGCCGCCAAGTGAGGGGACTTGCCACAAGGTGACCAAACTTCCCAGGGTCGGGGACCTCTAGCTTCATCCTTGTGGAGGGCTGAGTTGGTTTCTGAAAGAACTGTCCCCTGCTTGGTGTGATCTAGGGCTGTCTGTGTAGCGTGCACTGGCTTTACAAGGGCTTGTCCACTTCCTCAAGTTCGCGGCATATGATGCACTCCTGGTGGTAAATACACAGCCACCCGCCACCCGGCACCTGTCCTGTGTCATCCTTACCTACACCTCCCTCTAAGAGGCAGCAGCAAGCAGAGCTGGTCCCAGGCAAGGAAACAAGGGAAAGATTGAAGGTGGCCCTGGACAGGGGTCTAGGGGAACAGGCCCCCAAGGCCCCTCGTGCCCCAACCCAGGTCCTGGGCTTGAGGCCCCAGGGCACCTGGCTAAGGCTTTCAGGGCTCTGGGAAGTCAGAGCTGCAGCTCAGGGGCCAGGGCAAATGCCAAGGAGGAAGGTAACCTGCAAGGACGCACAGTGGAGGCTTCAGCAGCAGAGGCTTCAGGATGGTGGGTTACTGCTGCCAGGAGGCCTCAGGCAGAGCAAATCACGGGCTCCCTGTGCAGGCGGCTCTGCACAGGCATCAACATCACTCTCCTGAGGATGCACAGGCAGGCCCGGACCTCAGTGCATGGAGGCCCAGCTGCGGGAACCTCACCCTGGCTCCTTGTGAGAGCCCCACTCAGCGGGAACTCTGGGACTGCTTGGGGTTGGTGAATCTGGCCAGGAAGAGGATGTTCGGGCTGTTTGCATGGGGCACAACCACCAGGAAGGGCCTGTTGAAGTTTACAATCAGCGGGTTGTATTTTGCAGATTGCAGGACTAGTTTGACTCCTGTGGCGGCAGCTGCCTCTGTGCCCTTCTCGGCCACATCCAGCACAGCCTTGTGGAAGACCTGCAGGGACAGCATAGCATCACTCAGGGACAGGTGTGGACAGCGTGTAGCCCTGAGCTCCCTCTGCGCCCGTGCTTGTCCTCCCAGCAGCCCCATCCACTTGTTCTGCTTTGGCCCTTACATGGACATGCACAGTGAGGCCAAGTCACACAGCCAGACGCCTGCTGGGGGTCCTCTGAGTGCCTGGTCTGCTTGCCCCACCCCCCGGGCTGGAAGGAGGGGCAAAGGCAGTGCAGGGCATCAGCCCCATCCGCACCGAGCAGCTTCCAGCAGCCCCCACAGGAGGGGTGTGCTGACATATGTCAGCATCTTCACAACCTATACCCCCAGCTCCTTGCGTTTATGTCGAGGCAGGGGTCTCGCTGAGCGCTAAGTTCCCCGGGCTATGCTGGAAGTCAGCCTCCGTGGGGTTAGTGTCTCAAGGGCTTCCTGGGCTCCTCCTGGGCACAGCACCCGAGCTTCTTGTCCTGGCCATGTGGGGCCCCTCAGCACACGCACTCCCATTCCCGAGCTCTTGGAAGACGGTGCACACACAGCTGGGGCTGTGGGCTCACTCGGAGGAGGCTGAGGGCTGTGGCCACCCCTTTGTTCTAATGGCTCTGCCTCTGGAAAGCAGCCTGGGAGCACCAAGCCCCCTTCTCCATACTCTTAGCACCATAGCTACATAGGCAGGGCACTATTACCCTATGACTGTCACCCGTCCCATCAGGCAAGTAGGAAAGGCCCCCACTTTGCAGAGGAGGAAGCCAGGAGCGGAACAGTTTATCCCGTGGCAAAACCTAGCAGTATCAAGGCTCTCTGATGCCAAGCCCAGCGATTCCTCGCCACAGGCTCCAGAGCGCACAGCATTGTAGGGAGCAAGGACCAGTTGGCATCATAGCAGGAGAAGTGGGTGGTCCGGGGCACCCCAGGCAGGCCATAGCACACTGAGAAGTGAGGTTCGCCCAGCCCTCACCCTTCAAGTTCGGGTGCAGAGACACTTACCTGGGAGACCCTCAGGTTCCGAGTCCCAGTGATCCCTGAGAGGTCGGCCTCCCCAGAGAAGATCTTCCTAATGCCCAGCTTGGGGAGGACACGTTCCAGTGCGTACTCATTTGAGATGGAGAACTTGGGCAGGTAGAGCTCATCTATCCTCCTAGGACAGGAGAACCGTGTGAACATCACTGCCTCGGAGCCCGCTGCCACCCTGGGGGCCACGATGCCCACCCTTCTCTGGGGGAAAGTGGTCTGTGTCCCCCACTTCTTCACCCCATATTTATGCTTCTTTTTAACTGTGATGCTGGAGTTTGAACTCGGGCTCCCACGCTAGGCAAGCGCTCTACCACTGAGCTGCACCCCCAGCCCTTTTAAAATTATTTTTGAGACAAGGTCTCCTGAAGTGGCCCAAGCTGTTCTCAAATGTGCCACCCTTCTGCCTCACCCTCCCAGAGTACTGGGATTCCAGGTGTGTTTTCTCTTCTTAATTCATTCATTGCCATGGGCATCTGCCAGGCAGTGTAGCAGGCTGAAATCGCAGCCCTGTCCAAGCCTGGCCTTGCCCTTCCCAGAGCTGAGTGGGAGGTGCTCTCAGGGATCAGGGACCCTGCAGTATGTGAAAGACTACATGGAAACCCAGCAGCTTGCATGGTGGACACCAGAAGGACTTCCTGGAGGAGGTGGTGTCTAGGCTTATTCTCAGAGGATCTGGGAAAAGAGAGGGCAGGCGGCAGCTGGGAGGACTCAGAGATGTGAGGCGAGAGCTCCCGGGAGTGGGGCAGCCAGTGCTGGGGGGTGAGGGACACAGGGGTTGCAGGGGAGCCCCCTGCATGGACGCCTCCTTTTCCTTCATTTATACTCCTAATGCTTCGTCACTGTTGTCCTGGTCCTAAGCCGCCAAGCACAGAGTGAACGGCCGCGCGATCCCTGAGGGAGCCCAAGGCGTGCCAGTGCAGAGCCGATCCCCGCAGCCCGGCTCACCAGCCCTCCAGTGCTCACATTCCTTTCTGTCTCCCTCTGCCTCCAAGAAGCTCAGGGTGCTGAGGCCACGTTGAAGACGCTTTGTGACTTAGAATGTGCTAGGCTGAGAGGACACCTTGGCCCCAGTCCCACCTGATGGGTCATATTATTAAAGATGACATCAAGTCCAAAGCTCCTCCCCCTCCAACAAGTGCAAAGAGCAAAGCAAGCCCAGCCTCCCCATCCCTGAACTGGGTGTCCCACGACTGTGTCCTGCAGCCCTGGAAGCTGAGGTGCAGGATGCAGGCTTGGGCGGGGGGCTGGGGGAAATCCACACCTGGTCCTCAGGCGATCTCTCCACCGCCTCAGTGACTCTGGAAACAGCGCAGCCTCCACTGAGTGCATCTTGCCCTCATCGGGGAGGATGAAGAGCGCGCTGGCGTTGCCCGTGTATTCCAGCTCCACCACAGTGCAGGACAGCTGCTCGTCCCGGAAGTAGGGTATGTGCACATTCTCTATGCTCATCATGGGAACCTGTGCCCACCGCTTCTTAGTCATGTAGAACCTTGACTGGATGGTGTCTCGGGGGTCAAAGGGCACCTTCCACTTGCCTAGTGGAAGCAAGCAGTGGGTGAGCCCCATGAGCACCAGGGGTCCTGCTTGCTGGGACCTGCTTTGTCAACTTCCTGGAGCAGTGACAGCACGCATCGTCCACAATTGCCAAGGGTCTCTTGGGATTTAGAAAAAACCTTGGGAGGGGAAAAGCTGCCAGGAGTAAGGAATGGCTACAGGCTGAAGCTGCAGATCAGAACAGGCCAAGAAATGAAGATCTGGTCACTGGGGCAGAGGAGAAAAAGGGAGTCCCTGGGACCTAAAGAGGCACCCTGCAGAGCAAGCTTCGGGGATGTAGGCCTAGAGCTACTTCTGTACCCCAACTCCTCTGCTCCCCTACAAGGGCTTGTGTGAGTGGAAGGAAAGAGCTGGACCTGCCCCTGCCTGGCCGTGCATGTGCAGGGGGTGTCAAAGTCCTGGAACAGCATGGGTGGGGGTGAGTACAGCCCAGGGTGAGAGTGGGCTTTGGATCCAGCCCAGGCACTTGCAGAGTCTTAGGGGCAGGGTTGCAGGTGCCCAAAGCTGCAATCTGAGACGTGCTGGCCATGGGGCCTCCATGGGCCAAGGACCCAGCTCACACCTGCCCTCTCCAGGAGCCTGTGGTCTCTCTTCCCCCATTGGAAGGATGGCAACTGCGAGTTTGGGATTCGGGGCCCAGCAGCTTTTGACTTTGTATCTACCTGACAGCACGGAGCTGTTTCTCGTGACCAGCAGCAAGGGTTTCTCCCTCCTTTAGGTTACATCCTCACCTCTCCCTGGCTCTGGTCCTGCCCTCCCCCATCCCACACCCTCTGGGCTCGGGCTGGGCCCTGTCCTCTGTTCTCTTCAGAGGGCTGCCTTACATTCTTGCCTAGGACCTAAGAACCTGCCCTCCTTCTGCCCCAGCGATTCCCAGCCCCACCCACAGGGTCCAACTCTAGCCCAAACACAGCAGCCCAGGTGAGGGGTGCCCAGTCCCCTTGAGGGGTGCAAGAGGTGCCATGAGCATGGGTATCCTGAACATGGGCTGGAGGTGGGCACATCTGAGCCCTCCCACCTACAGCACCCCCCATATCTGCCTCCCCTCCACACTGGTGGCTCTAGAGCCTGCAGGGCTCATAATTTTGCAAAGGTAAAGCTCTGCGATGCTGCTCCAGCACCAGGGATTAGACACAGAGCATGGGGGCCTCCCTGCCCACCTCTCAGGGCACCGTGGCAGAGATGAGATGAGGCTGCAGCTCCCGTCCACCTGGAGGAGCTGGATGGGAAAGCTGTGCCTTGTGGGCTCCAGTTTCCATGAGAATGGAAAGCACTGCTCTGAGACAGATGCTGTGTGGGTAGACTGGAGTTGTGTCCCAGGGCCCGACTATACCTTGGGGAAACCCTATGGGAGAAGACAACCCCTACAGGCACCAGGCCCCCATGTGGTGGGCACTCCCAGAACCCAGTGAGTTCATAGTGCCACAACTGAAGCAGCTCTGAATGCTCAGAGTGAAAAGCCCGCTTCCTTCTGGCCCCATGCCCGGCCTGCTCCATCACCTTTAAAGAGGATGTAATTCACCAGGACCAGCATGGTCCCCTGGTCCAGGCCCTTGACCAGCTCCAGGATCTTCCCCTGGGTCTCCTTCTTCACGAAGTCATTGATGAGCTGTTCAGCAGCTGTGGGGTCCTTGAAGCGGGCAGTGAAGGTCTTGGCTTCATACAGAGTCCGGGCGTCCTCCGTGAACTTGGCCAGCAGCTGCAGCTGCTCGTCGATGAAGAGGGCATTGCCCACACTGAGCTGCAGCTGCTCATCGGGCTGCCGCAGGATGCGCAGGATGTGCTGGAAACCTCGGTGCATTTCAGCCTCGGAGGTCTCTGTGAGGTTGAACTTGAGGCCGTGGAGGATCTCCACCAGCGTGGTGTTGCGGGCTCCCAGGGACGCCAAGGCCAGCGCGGTGGAGATGCTCACAGGGGAGAAGACGATGTTCTTGTTTGGGGCTTTCGAAGCCAGCTGCTTGTAGAGGCTGAAGGCGAAGTCAACATTGCTGGTAGCCAGTTTGAGGTGGTCCACATGCGTCCCATTGTCCCTGTCCTCTGAGGTCAGAGTCCCCAGGTCTGGTGGGTGGCAGAAGACAGCAGAGCAGAACTCAGCCACCAAGAGCCCCAGCGCCAGGAGGAGTGACATTGTCTCCACTCTGAAAAGCAAAGATCATCTGAATGCAGAGGGCCAGACCACGCCTCCTGCTGTGCGCCTTGCCAGCTCTGTGACCTCTGAGGGGCATGTGCTCTCCCTGGCACCGAGTGTGCATTACTACACCCTGGGCTTCCCTTCACCCCTGCCAGCAAGCACTGTGATGCTTGCCACCTTTCCCAGTGGAGAAACTGGGCGCAGAGAGGTAACGAGGCTTGCCCACGGCAAGTAAGCAGAGGAGCCAGGCATGGGCACGCGCTGTGTCCAAGCAGAACACCTCTGCTCCCTCGACAGACCCCAAGCAGAGGAATTAGAAAGCAGGGGTCCCCTTCCTTCGTGACCTCCCGTGTGTCCAAGGCACAAGCTGGGTCAGGTGTCCTGGGCCAGAGAGCAGAGCACCTCTCAGCCTTTGGAGGATTCACCAAGCACTGACACAAGGGTCAATTGAATATGTATCCCTGAAAAACTTGGGGTATAAACAGCAGAGTCCTGGAGGGCACCCCATGGGCTCCTGGTGCGATGAAAGTCAAGCAAAGTAGGCATCAGACTCTCCGGGACCTGAGGCAGTGAGCAAGCGGGGTGAGGGCGGCAGGCCAGACAGTGGTGCTGAGCCCCGTCCCCACAGCAGTGGAGGGCCTTCCCAGAAGCCCAGGGCAGTGGAGCTAGGGAGCCTCTGCTGCTTGCTGCTTATTTACTCTTGGGCTGATGCAACATTCCCGTGCCAAAGCATGGATGGTATTTTCCCCAAACATTATTTCTAGAGAGAAAGGGCAGGAAGGAGGTCAGGACAGACACACAGCTGTCTCTCTGCTGGGTCAGGGAAGTGGAGTCTCCACACTGGCCCGGAATCACATCGTACCCATTCTGACAGTGGCGCCCAGAGTCCAGCAAAGCCGTGGCTCCTCCTCCCCAAGGGTCACACACACAGCTGGCTCCATTCAGAATCTACAAGTGAGACCTGCATCCCGCACAGAGGAGGGGACACAGATCCAGAGACAGAGAGCCCTTAGAGCTGCCCCAGGCTCCTGAGCCAGCACACAGAGCCCCAGCTCCTGGCCGCCTCCGCTAGCTGCCCTGTCACCCTGCTCCTCAGGGTTACCTGCCCGCCAGGAGAGCTGCGTGCAGAGTGTGTTCCTGGGCTTCCTTCCCGGAGCTCTGGGTCTCTGAGCTCAGCCACAGCCTATTTATCCCTGCAGGCTCCTCCCCCTGCTCAGGGAGAGCTGGCGGGGACAACAGCCTTCTGTCCTCAAGCTGGAAATGTCCACAACCGTTTCTGGGAATTAGGACTTTCTTCATCTCCCAGAACCATCTAATTAATGATGGGAAATTCTTCTCCCCCCAGCAAAACTACTCTGTCTCCTTAGCTTTTCTATGTCTGAGATGCTGCTGGGAAGAAAAAGACTCAGAAAATTAAAGAAAACCTTTGAAAACATTCCCCAGAAAATCTATCATGGAGAGAGGGCCCCAGGTAGCCTCTTGGTCTACTTCCCAGTCCCTTTGTGATGTCAGTGTTTGTGTACACAGAACTAATCTCCATGCAAACTCAGACAATTCTTTAAAAATACAAGGCTCTGTTCTTTTCTAGAGCTCTATTTGCACCTTCAGCCCCCTTGGGTGGGGTGACGCAGGGCCCTGCCGCTGGCCTGGAGCGCTCCTGCTGTATGCCTTGTGCTGTCCTGTAGCACTTCCCCAGTAGTTGGCTGGCCTCTTCCCTGGCTGGCAGGTCCCCTAGGTCTTCCTCTTACCAAATCTTGGGGCTATCTAGGGCTCACACGTAAAAGCTTCCCCTGGATGGTTCACAGTGACAGCCCCCATTCACAGTGGGTCTTGAGAAACCTTGGCACCCTGGGGCTTCCGCAGAGTGGTGGAGAAGCTGCTGGCCTCACTCCTGGTGAGTTTCAAGCTTTAGCATGAAGAAGGCCTGGCACAATCCTGAGGCTGCTGCTCAGCTCGCTGAGGGCAAACCTTGGGGATCCCAGCCCCCCTTCTGCCTGAGTTTACTATGCAGAGCAGGACCAGTTCCCAGCAGGTGGCTCAGAGATGAAGTGGGGTGCTGTCCCCTACAGTCTGTGTCATCAGGAGCTCTACTGTGCAAGTGTCACAGGACGTTCAGTCGCAAACCCAGCTGGTGTGGGCCTGCCACTTGGCGTGGGCTCTGAATGTACCTGGGATGCGTGGTAGGGAGACGCGCGAGGCTGCTTGTCACTTAACGCCACTTGCTGTGTACAGGGAACTTTATAATAAACGGCACTTCAAGAGGTTGAGGCAGGAACGTCAAAAATTTGAGTTCAACCTGGTCAACTGAGTAAGACCCTGTCTCCAAAACAAAATAATAAATCTAACGGCGGCGGAGAGGTGGCTCTGAAGGAGGCACTGGGTTCAGTCTCGAGTACTGTCAGCTAAGAGAGGGCTCTTGCGCTGATCATGGTTTTATTGTACTTCGGTGAGTCTGGCGGCCTGAGGAGCGCACTGCGTCGTACTGTGGTGGCCGCAGCGTCACCAGACACCAAGAAGTTTTCCACTCCACCTAATCTTACCGGCCAGCCACAGGGTGGTGGCCCAGCGTGGGCTGCAATGCTGTCCTGCTCCGCACGATGGCGCTGCAACCGTGAGCTCCTTGAGGATGTCTCTTCACAGCTACATCGCTGAAGTTTTGAATAAATGCTTGTTGGCTGCACTGCCTGAATTAACAGGAGCTTGCTTCTGTCGATGCCTAAACGATAACTGATGTCCTTTCAGACTCCAAACATTTTCACACATTCTACCACAGACCTACCCAGTCTGGACTACCTTTTTTTTTTTTTTTTTCATTCTGTGGGGATCAATCCCAGAGCTTTTGCTCTAATTTACATCCCTGACCAGTTTATTTTTACTTTAAAATTTGAGGCAGGGTATTTCCAGGTCACTGTGTTATCTAGGTGGGACTCAAACCTGCGATCCTCCTGCCTTAGCCTCCCAGAGTGCTAGGGTTATAGGCTGGTCATTTTTAAATTACCAGAGTCCAGGAGAATGAATGGCTAACACAGGTCTGAGGCTGATTTCTGTGTCATGTGTGGGCTGAGGAATGGCTCCACTCTGTCAGGAACCCAAGTCCCTCTCTTGTTGCTCCACCGTCCCTGGCCGCCATTTACCTGGTCCAATAGGGCTGTTACCATGACTACCTTCCAGCCAACAGGAAGGGCAACAGGGATGGACACTCTTTGTTAAAGGGAATGGGGACCTGTGTGTTGCTCTCCGCTGGTCATTTCCTCTGCGCTGGTCAGAGCCTGGTCACATGGCACACAGGGCTGTAAAGGAGGCCCTGACTGATATGTGCACTCCAAGTCAGCCTGTCTCAGCTGAAAACATGGGGGTTTGCTGCGATGAAGAAGAAGCGCTTAGACACTGGGGTCCCGGTACCCTCTACAGGGCTTCTCAAGTTCTCTGGCAGTGGAGAACAATTTTCTTTTAAATTGCACTGACTGAGTGAGCCTCCATCCCAAGGTGAAGACAGGTGATTCTATCCCCCTGGGGATGTTTTCTGGGGGCTAACCCACGCTGGGAGCCACTTGCCGCCTGGAACTTCAGACCAACTTCCTGGCCTCTTCTGTGGACCCTGAAGGTCTCCAGCAGTCTACTTTGCCCCAAGCGCTGACTTTAGCCTTTCCTTTGATTCTGCAAGCGCCATGTACATAGAAAGGCATAGGGCAGGTCTCCGGGGTCCCATGCAGCGCAGGAAAAGCCCAGGTGACCCCAGGCAGCACCCCCTGGAATCCTCTCACTCCTTTGCCCTCTGCTCACCTTTACTTGGGTCCCGATAGCTGATGGGCTGCAGGGCTCTGGGAACCTGTGCACCTCCTAATTGGCAATTTTTCAGGAATATTCTCTTATTGGAGTCCAGGGAGCCCCTTATTTCTAAACCTCACAAATGGAAGCACAGAGGAAATTAGGGGCAGGCTGGTGCCTGCAGAGAAGTCCACGGGCTTGAGGGAGGGCGCCCTGAGCTGTGACAGACAGGCCACGCTCAGAGAGTGTCCCTGTAGTGGTGATAGGGCTGGTGATGAGAACTCTCGGGACCTGCCAGAGCCTTGTGTTCATACCTTGTGTCCTAACACCATCCCCAGCCACTTGGGTGCTCCCTGAGGAGGAAGAAGCCCCGGGCGTGGGTGAGCCTGGACGGCCTCTGCCTGCGGTCCTGCTTTCGGATTCCCTCTCTGCTTTTGGCTCCGGGGTGCATGTTTGTTTTGCATCTGCATAAAATGGTCCCCAGCTAGGCCATGCCAGGACACATCCAGGGCCTCCTCCAAGAGCAGCATTTGCTTCCTCTACAGAAGAAGATACAGTGGGCTTCCAAACAATATAGGTCGCCAGGTGCTTCCCCATATGTCACTCACCAATTCTTTCCTTTAGTCTACAAATGCTTAGAGAGAGATTTCGTGTGCCAGCCATTACCCAGGGCCCTGGGCAGCCAGCGCTAAAGAAGATAAATAATGAGCCTGCTATCCAAGTACCCTTGTCTGCAGTGGGCCCTGTGATGGACTCAGGGGCAGCTGCTCTGGAGCTCTGTAAAGTCAAGATTACCGATCCTCAGGGCCACAGGTGGCTTCTCCCGCCTTGTACCCCTCCTGCACTGGGGACTCTCCCTCTGTCCCTTCTTCCTCCATCACTGCCTCTCCTTCCTTCCCCTCCTCCTCCCCTCTTCTTTATCTCTACCTTCTCTGTCTTCTCCTTTGCTATCTCTTATAAATTTATGAACCATTCTGAGCCATGAGACAGGTTGTGGTTTTGATGTGGTCTGAATGTGGCCCCTGTTCCCAGTCCTGGAGACTCAGATGCTGGGGGCTTGGTCCCAGGGTGGGGTGCTGAGGTACCAGAACTTTAAGAAGTGGGATCTAATAGCAGGTGGTCAGGGCGTCGAGGGCACCATGCTGGGAACTTGATGCCATTCTCAGAGGACCCTGGTGGTGCCCAAAAGCGAGCGAGATGTTCTAGAAAGAGTCTGTCTGGCCCCGATCCTCTCTCAGCATTCTCACCATGCACACAGAGTCCAGAGAAGTGAAAATCACTTTTCCTAATATTAGCCCAGACACTCCATCCTCTGTGTGCTGCCTGCTGAGATCTGGAGGTTGAAGGAAATCTGATGCTCTCGCCCTGCCTCTCTATTCCACTGACCTCCATGCAAGTGCAGGAAGCCTTTCCAGCTTGAATTTTGTCCTCCGTGACGCAGAACACTGTGTGCCTGCATCATTCCCAGGGGAGGGCTGTATGCACCTTGCCAAACTTGGCTTAGACAGAAAGTTTTGCGGAAGTTCAGCTGTCGAGTCCACTGTGACAGCACAGTTGTGCCAGTCCTGAAAATGAACTTTGTAATGCATACATAGGCTGCTAAAATAAAGAGAAGCCTGGGCCATATGATGACCAGATGCCCAGTGCTCGGGAGAGCATCCAGGAGGCAGGTGTCTCCTCTTTTGACCCAAAGCCAAGGGGCCTGGACATCTCTGTGCTGCAGGGCTTATACCCTGGGAGAGAGCTGCATGGCCAAGAACAAGTGCTGCGGGATCTACCCCTGTAGGGGACGAGTGTGGAGCCTGCTCCCTGGCGAGTTCCTCTTACCTCAGATGCAACAGCCTGGCACATTCCACAGTTGACCTGGGAACTGCAAGCAGAAAGAGAGCCCGCTGGCCAAGGCCTTTGGAGACTTGGCCTCCTGCATGCTCTGTCCCTGGGGTCTCTCAAGCCCGTGGAAGCCTCTGCTCTTGTGGCTCTCACCTGCCCGGTCCTCACCCTGGGGGCAGGGGCTCAGGTAGTCCTCAGACAGTTAGTGCCACCTGCCTGCACTCTGGATGGGACAGGTCAGGACAGCTGCGCTGCGTTTTCCTCAGCTCCTGTGCCTGTTTATGTTGAAACAGATCTCCACTTGGGCTTTCCTCTGGAGCGTTGTCTCCAGGTTCTGGTCTAGGTCAACCTCCAGGGAGGGGGCAATTTGGGAGAAAAATCTCCTGAAGTCTAATCATGTGTCTGCCAAGGGCCACAGCTGGTTGGTGGTGGAGCAGGTGGTGCTTACGTCAAGCCAGTCCAAGGCAAGGGCCAGGCTCACTGCCACATCCCATGCTCTTTCAAAAAAAAAAAAAAAAAAATTGAAGACCTGTTCATCATGGCCATAGAGGAGAACATGATAATAATCTCTTTTTTTTTGGTTCTTTTTTCTTAATTTTTAAAA